GAAAGAATGAATTAGAAATAATTTAAATGTGTTTGAATTCTTTGAGCCTGATGAAGTTCAACCTAGGGCAGCAAAAAACTGACTGAAATGCCCAGGGTACTCTCTGGGTATTTCAAGGTCCATTCTAGTCTTATTTTCTACCATTCTGATTTTCTTTGATGTATTTTAATGAAACCTGTGCATGTTGGTGACGTTTTTCATTCTGAACGCATTGAGCAGTTTTTTTAAGAAGAAACATTTGTAAAAACAAGCCCTAAGTCTAGTTTTGCCATAACACTGATCTTTGAAAAGATTTTATTTATTTCTGGAACGGTTGTTTTGTGTTCAGAAAGGAAAGTTTTTTACTATTTCTCTCTCTAATATGTTTAGAAATGATTTCCCTGTACCTTTGGGTTCACCGCTTCTTGGAACAGCAGTTGAGGTCAGAGATACCAGTGGTTCTGCAGTTCTAGAAGGCGAGGGACAAATATTTATAGGTTATGTTTTATTTGTTGTTCTTTTAAGATACTTTTCTTTGTTGTCTGGGTTTTAATACTATGTTAATTATTTTACTTTGTATCTGTCTCTGATATACAGACTGATATGGCATTGTAAGGTTCCATTGGGCTGGGAAACTGCTCATATTTTAGATTGTTGGAATGATGAACAAGAAATTACCATCATTTTGTCTGCAGAGTGCATTCATTATAATAATTTATCTTTTCTGCTTGCATTTTGACACTTTAAGTAGCCAGGTTATTTTTATGTGTTAACTGAATTAACTGTATAGCCCAATTTATATGTTTTAGAAGTTTAGGTATTATATATTATATTATTATAATCTTTTAATACTTCTGATAATGCTTGTTAGAGTTTATAAGAATTTGATAAAATACTCAGTATTTTCTTTATATTAAATACTCAGTATTTTCTTTATAATTTCATAGGTATTCTATTTAATATATAGGACCACAATCTTTTCTTGTACAGGTGGTGAAGAACGGATCTGTTTTCTTGATGATGAAATAACTGTACCCTTTGGCACAATGAGAGAAACAGGGGATTTTGTAAGCGTGCAGGATGCGAAGATGGTCTTCCTGGGTCGGAAAGACAATCAAATTAAACGTCATGGCAAACGATTTAATATTGAATACTTGCAGCAGGTAATACAACATTTAGTGAGTAGAGCATGCCCGTATAGATGAACAGGGATAAGGTACACAGTATTGTTATTAGAAATCTGTATCTACTCAATTTCAGATGACTTTTAGGAGTCTTAAAGAAATTCAAAAATCTAGTCATATAAATTAGGTACGTAAGAGAAGGGAGTTTCGTTTTTGGAAACATGTTTTATTCTGTGGTCTGTTCCAGTAGAACTGAGAAACTGTATAAACATCTGAAAAATACTGAAGACTTACGCAGCAGTGCTTGCATAGTAATAAGGCTACAAGATGGAATGTCAGACTCCTAGATTATATCTCATTTGTGACGTTCAGGCAAATAAAGAAATCTCTCTGAGTTCATTTTTCTATAAATAGGTAGAAACTTTAGCCACAAGAGACTACTGTGATGGTTAGTTAAGATGTGTAAATTACCCTCAAACAGAAGGGACCAGGAACCAGTATGATGATTGTTGATAGCAAAGAGCAGTGTAAAGACTTACTGGCAACTCCAGAATCTTTGGAATGAAAGCTTATTATAGATTAATTCAAAACATTCTTTTCAGAAAATGCAGTGAATCATGAACTGTGAGAGAAAGTCAGGGCCTCAGAATAAATGTTCTAAATGGATTTGTTTTTCATTTTAATTTTTAAGCATTTCTTCTTTATCAGAACACTATGTTTCATGTTTAAAAAGCAAAATATTTATTTCTAGGTTTGTTTTCTTTTTAAACCTCCAATTTTTGAAATATTGATATGGGCAATATAAAAATTATTGATTAGAAATTAAGTATGCATTTTTATAATGTCAAGCTTACATTTTTTTTCCAGAAATTTTCCAGAAAAAAATAAGCTCAATGTTTTAGTAAAGAATCATGACCTGTGGAGAGTAAGTTTTTTCAGGCACTGGCCAGGTGGCCTATAAAGGGAGATTAATGTGGGAAGATAGTATCCTATTTATGTTCTCTTGAGAGTAAGTACAATTCCCTTGCAGTGTTGGTGTAGCGTGGAAACTGCATTTGACTTGAATTCAGAAAGATGATCTGTGAATTTTAAAACGTGGTAACTAAAGCTTGATAGTTTTCATCCAGTCTCTCCTTATTGCGGAGTATCTCTAGCAAAGATATTCTTGTGGAGAACTAGAGTTGTAGCCGTGTTCTCAAGAAACAAATAGCTGTTCTTCCTTCCATGGAGCAGGATGATTTTGTCAAAAATAACTTTTTGCTGGACACTGCTAGTTCAGTCAGCTCTTGCGTTGTATAAGATGGCAAATTATCAAGTGAATCAAATCATCGATGAAATACTTATGGCACTACTTCATTGCATTCAGCCAGGTGATATTATTATAAAATGAGACGGAGTTTGGTTTTTTTGGGCGGAGGGAAGGGGTGTCTTTTTTTCCCATTTCTTTTTAAGCTAATTCAGTAAAAGCCATTGTGATTTCATTGCAAATGCTTATCCTTAAATTTTGCTCTCAGGTCACGTAGATGCATTGATACGTTCAGTGTTGAAGAGCTGGTTTAAACACGAATAACAAATTTTAAAATTATCTTTTGTTTTGACTGATCTTTTTTGATCTCATTAAAGCCATTCTTACTGCAGTAGTATGTAATCAGATGGAGTTTTGACTATATTATTTAAGGCAGAGGTAAAAATGTAACCTATCTATCTGTAGTACTGTTGCCATCTGATAGTACTTCTGTTCAGAATTAGTGCTTTCAGTATTTGTTAGAAATATCTATGTTTCAAGAACAGTGGTTATGTTCTGCATCTTTATTGACTGTTTGGACGAGTACACCTCGTGGAAGTGTTTCTTCATGGTTTTTCTCAGGACACCATTGTTTAGATAACTGAAAAGTTTGCTTTGCTGATAGCTGTGCTGATTTCTCTACATGTTAAGTTCATTCTTTAGTGTCTGACACTGAACATTGCTACTTAAATTAACATAACTGGAAATATATGTATTTATAGGATATTATCTAGGAAGATGAAACCAATACAATTTAAGTCTAATTTTTTTAAATTGTGTTTTTTACTCCTCTTACTCTATTACTGAACTGCATTTCAAAACAAGTTAAGACTGATGTTTTTGAATTACAGACTGCGGAAGATCTTCATCAGGTAGAAGCTTGTGCGGTGACCTGGTATCAGCAGGAAAAACTTATCCTGTTTGTTGTACCTAAAGACAATTTCGAAGAGAGAGAAACTCTTAAAGAACTTCAGAAACATCTACCAACTCATGCAGTCCCTGATGAACTTGTACTGATTAAAGCTTTGCCTTTAACATCACATGGTAAATGAAACTATAAGTATCCTTGCAACTTATTTTAATGGTTTCCATTCCTTTTGTTTTTTTTTTCATTGACCAGAATACAGATTCATGCTTTTTAAATACATTGGTCAGATAGATAACTCACTGCTTGTTGGAAATCATCAGTATAGACAGACAGCTGTATTCAGAAACAGCAAATATGTCTGATTTGTCGTGTCGGCTACGTACGTGTATGTTTGCTTGATAATGTTTCATTCAAGATTCAAAGAGCAGTAATAAAATCCATTTAGTATTAAAACTGCACATTTATTTTCTCAGCAGCTCCTCTTGCAGTCTGTGACAGAGCCCTGACTTTAGATGGGAAAAGATCAGGCACTGTATATGGGATTATGTGGGAGGCTAGGTTAAGTTTTCAAAAACCTTACTGTGTTTTGAAGAGTATAGTTGATTCACTGGATTAAAAAAAAAAAGCAGGTACAATTTTGCCTATGAATAAGGAAGCTGGGGCAAGGCTAAGTTGATTATTTGGGCAAAGCAAGTTTTGGAAGTGTAAATGGTAAAGAACAGTGAAAAAATCATGCTTTATTTATTTTCTGCAAAGGCAAAATTGATATGTCTGAGCTGAACAAGATTTACCAGAACCATCTAAACTCCAGAAGACGTGACAGAAAGCTGAGTGGCGTAGAGGAATTGTGGGAAAGACTGCAGTATTTGTGGAAGGTAGTATTTTGAGCTGCCTTTTTATCTTTGCAAGAAGATCTGTATACATGTGTCAGGAATTAAACAGTTTTAAGAACTGTGACTAATGCAACCAGAACATTCTATCTGCCTATACATTTAAGTATTATAGCTCTGTCTATTCAGTTAATACTTAAATACAGCTGCTCTGTAATGGCCAAGAGGGAATCATATTTCTCATATTTCTCTTATCTGATACAACTGTATCGGCTATGAGGGTATATGCAATTAGCATAGGAAGGACATAATCTGTCAGTAGATTTTTGAATACTGCTTCACATGCAAAAATAAGGCATCCTTAAGGGAAACTAGTAACTGGGACATGGAAATTTTGTTAAAAAACAGCTACTATATTACTAGAATTTCTTATTTCTGTAGATAACTGTAAACTGGAGAGGCTCTCCCTATTTTCCTTTTTTACATAGATGGCACAGTTTCATAATTGGTTCTTGGACTTTCTGGTTCTGTTGTTTCTTAATTCCTGTGCTGACGCCTTGTTTTAGATCCTGAGAAGTAGAAACCCCTTTAGAGTTCTTGTCATTAATAAATGGGATTGAGATTGGAAATGGCTGACAAAAGTACAGCACAACGTGCTTTAATTCCTTAGACTGCAGAACTGAGTAAAAAGTTTTGTACTACTGAACAAAATCTCCCTGTTTCTCCATTCCTCCCCAACTCTTGTGCGGTCACTACCTCAGCTGGCGCTAAAACATTTCATGTGATTTTTGTGAAGTGATGAGTTTCCTCAGTTTCTGTTGACTCTAGTGGGAGTTCTGCGTATTCAGCTGGTTTTCACCCAACTTCAGGTTTTTTGTGTGTGACATTGTGTACCACCTGTAAACTGTTTTCACTTTCCTTCTTCCCTTTTCTAGTCTGTTCTGGGTCTCCTAGATGATTCCACAGAAATTTCTAAAGATTCAAGATTTCTCTACAGTGGTGGAGACTCCTTAAAGGCTCTAAGATTTTACGAAGAAATTGAGATTCTAGTAGGCAGAGCTGTTCCTGGGCTCCTTGAAGTTATTCTCAGCTGCTCGATTGAAGAGGTTTATACACATATTCTTAAAACTCTGTTTCCAAGTGAAGACCAATTAATGAGTTGTGACAATGTTGCGAAAAGGAAATTAAGTGAGATCAGTGGAGAAGAATTCCGTGGAAAGTCCATTAAACTGAAATCTGAAAGATACTTTGAAGTTCCTCCTGGGTTAATTTCATTTATTGCACTGAGCCGAGGAAATCGGTTGTTTTCTATGAATTCCTCCAAGTCCTTTACGCAACCCAATAATATGGTGCAGGTAGGAATGGAACTGAGACAACAGCCATCCTTTCTGCATTTACTGTCACCAAGCGCAAGGAAAAGCCAAGAGCAAGAGTATGACATGGAGGAGAGCAGAAGTTTAACAGTTACCAACAAGGCAAATAAAACCGACACTTGCTCTATACAGCCAGTCCATGCAGAATGTAGTCCTGGAACAGTGGCTAAGTTGGCATTATGCATAAGATGGAAGTCAAATACAAGAAAGTGTGTTGATGCATCACCATTGGTTATAATACCATTTACAGATGAAGTATCTGCATCTGTATATGTTGGCTCTCACTCTCATACAATGCAGGCAATTGATCTAGATTTGGGAGAAATAAAGTGGGAGAGGAATCTTGGAGATCGTATTGAATCTTCTGCCTGTGTATCTACGTGTGGACAATTCATTGTTGTTGGTATGTCTTTTGTTTTAGCCTTCACTGAAAATTGTTTCATCTGCTAAACATAAGATGAATGACAGAGAATCTTACTTCACCTCTGAATGCCCTGCTCCTATGCTTGTCCGTAAACTTCCATGTCTGCCTGAAAACCGATTTGCTGTAAAATAGAAACAGAAGGAAGAAGTAAATTAAGTTTCATGATAATGTATAAGGGAAATTATTTAACATATTATAAATTTCTAGTTTATTACATGCCAGTGTATTAGTAGGGCCTTGTTAAGGAGGAGGGGAATAATCAATGGGTACAGTTTCTATTTAGTGGTTAATTAAAATGTGACCATTAAGCTGTTATTTAAAAGTATGGAAAGGTGATACAGTTTTAAAATGTCTTTAAAAATTGATAGAGGTAAAAACTAGTACGTGATGCTTCAGATAATTAAACCTTTTGAGAAATAATCTCATTTGACTCTTTGCTTTTTGGAAATGTAAAGATGATGTTTGCATAGTCCCTTTTTTAAACATGAATTTGGGAAGGGAAGTTTCTAATCTGTCATTGTATGTGAATTTTAAGCTCTCTTGGCTGTAGATTTGTAGCACTGACTGCTTATGTAAAACTAACTTTGTCAGTTGACCAGTCTACCCTGGTTTTTGTCATCTCTCTTGTCAGCAGAGTTGTCATTATTCTTCCTGATGTTACCTTTTTAGGTAATATGTACACTTCACTGATCAGCACGGCTATCTAGGTGATGAGTTGTCTTATGCAAAGCAGGCATTACTATATTTTGACTAGTGATTTGATTGCTCTTTACTGTGACCTAAGGAGTTATGACCTAAGGAGTCTGTAGAACTGCAGCTCAATTTCATTAGAAAATATACAGACTTTATTTTTTTGGTATCTTTGTTTCCAGAAAGGTAAATTAGGGAGAGAAGTAATTAAAAAAAACACCCTTTTCAGCAGCTCACCTTGTCTTCTAATACTATCACTGTAAAATTTGGTAGAAGGGCAGGGAAATAAGCATGTACCAAACGTAACCTGGAAAGAACACACTGAGCTTTAAATGTATGAACCATGAACAAAGACTTTGAACTAAAAGAAGAAAAGCTTTGGAAAGCTTTGTTTTCAGATTGTACCTCATGAGTCATCTTATTTCTTGCCAGCAGCGATGCAGCTAACAGCACAAATACAAATATTTTAAATTCTTTTTCCCCATTTTGTGTTATCTCACACAGGCTGTTATGACGGCTTAGTATATGTGCTCCAAAGCAGCGATGGCGAAATACATTGGACTTTTGTCACAGAGGACGCTGTGAAAAGCTCTGCGGTTGTAGATCCTTCTACTGGATTAGTCTATGTAGGATCGCATGACCAACATGTGTACGCTTTGGATATTTATGTAAGAACACTGACTAACTTTTACATATAAAAGCGTAAATATCTGACTTAGAATGACCAGATGAAGCTCCATTGTTTTTAGTAATCTCAGGAGTCTATTCTTAAACTGTGAGGCAGTTATGCCTGCTTGAAGTGGGGTTGGGGTTATGTGGTAGTAAATGGTTTTAGTGGTATTCTCAGCCATGGTTCCCCTGCTGCTGGTACTATTTTATACCACATCTCAAGTTTCTCTATTACTAAATTACCTGTTATCTCTGGGTATTTCAGAATAGATTGCCAGTTAGAAATAACACTATGGCTTAATGGTGGAAAAAGAATCTTACATTCTAAAAGAATAGATGAAGGAAGATGGAAAATAAGCTCATCAGCTCCTGAGTTCGTTAGCTCAGTTTCTTATATTTATTGGAAAAGAGACTAGCCAATGGCATATGATTCATTATAATAGGATGTGAATTATATCTTCAGTTATTAACTAGTATTTCCTGAGTAAACCCACTGTTTGATAATGTTTGACAGTAGAAGTTCTTCACAAACTTTTTGAGCTTTAATCCCTTTGTAAAACCTTTTATTTATCTATCTTTTTCCCTGTGCTTACAGAAGAAGATGTGTATATGGAAGATCCATTGCGAAGGTGGAGCTGTGTTTTCTTCTCCTTGTCTAAGTTTTTTTCCACATCATCTTTATGTTGCTACACTAGGAGGACTATTATTGGCTGTAAACCCTGTATGTACCTTTGCCTACTTGTCTTTGGTCCCAATCTCAAACTCATGTTAAGCCAAAATGCATTTCTGAAGTTAAGAGCGCTTTCGTGGTAAAAAGAAGTAGGTCATCATATTTACTACAGATACTTTCACTTGAGATCTTAAATTATTACACACAAGGTCAGTATAATAATTCTGTATTTCAGAATACTGTAAAAATACTAATAAAAGAAACAGTCACTTGGAGCAGATATTTGCAATTTTTCAGCTCACACTGGACGGACCATCAGTCCTTACCATCTGCACCTCCCACCCAAGGCAAATTTCCTCAGTAGTACCGAATCCAGTGTTAGAAGAACAGTGTATGTTTTGCAGCTCTAGTGGGCTGTGATAAGCAAACCCATTTTTTTTTTTTCAACTGCTGTTCTAACTCCAAGTGAATGTTTATAACAATTAGGAACATGCAGGCTATGTGAGGAGCTTATTGTGACAACCATAGGTTGTAGATTGCAGCATTTCCTACAGTATTTATAATTCATGACATGCACAATTAATGATGTGACTTGCTTTCAGTATATCCTCTCTTTCATTGGCTCTCCTTACATAATGAGGAGCTGGGGATAGAACTGCAAATGAATCTCTCTCTCCTTAAAACTACATATTAACTTGGGGGGGTGTGTGGTGGGTTTGTTTGTTTTTGTTTTTTGCCAAGGGGGAGGAGGAGAAGGGTGAAACAGGGACATGAGTATCCCAGAGAATACGCTAAGCGTTTTGTTGGAGTAACACATGAAGAGTAGGTTTGCTTCTGGTATGCATTCTGGATGGGAGAAGCCTGTGGGCTTTTTTTGGTTTTGTTTTTTTCTGGAAATTCCTGAGGGCTGGGTGAAGCTATGGGGAAGGGTAGTTCTGTGTAGCTTCTTGGGAGTTGTGTTAAACATGGGATATCCCATGCTCTCATTCACAGGCGACTGGAAATAAGATTTGGAAAAGCTCCCTGGGAAAACCACTCTTCTCCTCTCCTCACTGCAATGAGAAGTATGTTTATGTTGGATGTGTGGATGGAAACTTATATTGTTTGACTCATTCTGGAGAAAAGGTAAAAGTTATTACTCTTGGTGGTTTTTCTTAGGTGCGTCACAAAACCCTAGATAAGATGCTTTATTAATACTTTTCTGAGGCAGTCCAGCAAGTTCATGGCAGAACTAGAAATAATCCCCAAAAGCTCAAGTTTCTGGATGCAGAAGTAGAAATTCTAGTTCAGCGCTGGCCCACACCCAAAGTAAATGTTCAAGAGTAGTGCCACAGATAAAACGGCCTGATTTTGTTTTTGAAGTTTCTCAAAAATACTTAAAGCCATCTCTTCTGTAAGCTAGTAGCTGTTTGGATCTAGGGTGTTCTTAAAATGTTTAGCCATTTATCAAACAAATACTCATGTCATGGCAGAGATGTGCCAAATCATAATTCGGACAAGAAAACATGCGAGCTTTCACCTTTAATTAAATGAGAACTTTTTTTGTTAGTTCTTCACACATGAATATGATTTGCGTTTGTTTGTTGTTAAAACATCTAGAACTGTTTCTGTTTGCCTGAGATGCCGTCTACATGGCAATTTCAAAGCCTTTTCTGATTTTAAAATACATGTTAGCCCATGCCCAGCCCTCTGGCTGCATGCAGCGGTTCTTACTGTACTGATACTCTCTTGAGATGGGATCTGCACAGCAGTAGCTTGCTGAGAGGAAAGCAATCCTGCAAAAGGAACATTTGCCTTTGTGACAGAGAATGACATGTTTACAGACGTCTTAAAGTCCATTACTACTCCTGTTATGCTAGCCCTACAATAATCTTTTTTTCCAGGTTAATATGCTAGCCCTACAATAATCTTTTTTCCAGGTTAACTATGTTTAGGGGCACCACACAAACTGGTACAACTCTTGCACTTCCATTTTATGAGTGAGTGAGTCCTTAATATACTGTGTGTATAAAGGTTAATTTGTAACGTGACAAGTATTTCCTAGCCCTCAGTGAAATCCAGTATGCTCTTGAAACAATGATGTACTGTCCTAGCAACACTTTATCTATCTATCATCTATTGAAAAATTACAGTTGCTTTTATACTAGTAACGTGAACAACCTGCGCTAATGGATGGTTATGGTCTTTTCGTAGGCTTGGCAGTTTTCCACTAATGGCCCAGTGTTTTCATCTCCATGCATCTCAAGTTTAACTAAGCAAGAAATATTTTTTGGCTCCCATGACTGCTTTATCTACTGCTGTAATATGGAAGGTAGTTTAGTGTGGAAATTCGAAGCTACTGCAAGTGTATATGGAACACCATTCGTTTTCCAACGTGATGACTTAAAGAACAAAATTCTTTTGGCAGCGGTATCTACAGATGGCAAAGTGTGGATCCTGAATGCCAAGAGTGGAACAGCAGAAGGAGTAGATAAGCTCCCAGGAGAGATTTTCTCTTCCCCTGTAGTATGGGGAACAAAGCTTGTTGTTGGCTGTAGAAATGATTATGTTTATTGCCTAGATTTGTATATAACAGGAAAAAAAGAACAGCTAAAATGTTAGGCTGCTTCCTTTTAATTGTTTACATTTGTCAATTAAGAACGCACAGGTGCTCTCTACGTCTCTGCCTATTTTACAATATTGACGATAGATGCTCTTTGCAGACTTCTCAGGTAGCATTTTTGTACCAAGCAATATCCAGAGTACGAAAAGTGATGTTTACTGACTTGTTGTACTGACTGAAGGAGGATGGCTGCTCAGCACCCAGCCAGTGGTTTCACTGTTCCTCCCTCTTTTTTCAGCTCAGATTCATAAAAGAACTAGTGTTTCAGATGGTATGGATTTGAGTGTTATGCTTTGACCTGTGTAGCACAAGAATGGAAGTCAGAAGTTTGGCTTCAAACACGTCCAGAATTGGGAGATGCTGCAGTAATGTGCCAGCCTCTGCAATTTGGAATAACATGCTTGGCTCCTTGAGGGAAGAATTTATTCCTTTCTTGGACTCGAGCTTAGCCTGCACCCTGAGGTGCCTTTGCTCAAGTGCCTAGCTCTGCCATGCAGCATACCAACCAGTTGGTGGTTACCCAGTGTGAGTGTGGCTTTCTAATCTGTAGCAACGTAACAAGAGTCTTTTGTTGAATCTAACTTTTAAATTGTTTTTAAGGACATAGCCTGCATTGCATATCCTTGGGGGTGATGTTTAGAGTTTGTATAGTGTATAATTTGTATAAACAAAAATATTCATCTCTTGTGAGCCTTAGCTCTTCTTGGCTCCAATTCAACCAAGCATATACCTAAATTCAGTTGAAGGCAGCAGGAGCTACTCCTTGTATTTTAGAGTTGAGCAATACTTACGTGTGAATACTTACTAAATTTCAATGACAGTTACACAATGAGTTCCAAGATGAAGCGTGTAGTGGTCAAATCAAACCTTGTTCAAGTCATTTGTGAAGAAATTTGAATGAATGTATGTAGAATGTCTTTACAGAGAACCTTAGTAAAGCGTTGTGTAAATTTGTTGTTGTCTTTAACACCTTAAAAAGAATTACCATCAGGGCTCACTAATGATAAATCAAAAGTACGCTTAGCTCCAAGCATCTTCCTCATTACAAATGTCTTTTAAAAGACTCTGGTAGAAACTGTTTTATCCTTGCCTTTGATGGGTCATCTACTTTGAGTTCTAAAATCTTGAATAAGTAAGTGGTAAACTAGAAGTTGCACTGGCTATGTTGCTTCATCATGTCTTGTTACTCAATTTTATTGTTAGCTGAAATGCATTGTAAAGATGTTTGTAGAAATAAAAGTTCTATTTATGAAGTGAAACTACTGAACCATACTACTAACAAAAGAATACACTGAATACATACATCATTAATTAGATAATTTTTGACTGGGTTATAGTTTAATAAGAATTAAAATGACATTAGTATAATAAACAATTGCACTTTAAAACATTTTAAAAATTAAAAAAGTACACAACAAATACCCCACAATTATACATCTTACAGTTTTTATACATTACTATATGAACATAGAGGTTAATCATATATAACCTTGTCAGAAGAAATGGTATTTTGTGTGTATAAGTTACAAAAAGTTGAGACAATATACTACATAGTGGTTTGTTCAGTTCTTAAAACATTTTTGCTGTTTTCAAGTCAGTAGTAATGACTTTTTTACCGATTTCCAACACTTTATCAGAAATGGTTGCAACAAAGCTAAAGCAAAGTAACACTTCATTGGTATGTAGTGCAAATTTGCGTTAATTTAACACGAAATGTCACTGTTGAACGTGTACACTTTAGAAATGCTTCCACCAAGTACTGTACATAATACAGTTTCCATTATTACACTAGATACCCTTATGCTTGAAAAAAACTCTGCTTTTAAGCTTTAGATTAAGACCATTCTTAAAGAAAGCTCTATTCTATGTGATATAAGTGTACTGTATTAGAAAATTGCTTCATTATGTATGTCATGCACAATAGCACCTAATTATGCTATGCTTTTCAGAATACCAGTGCCTTTAATTTTTTTAAACCTGACTTATTTCACCTTCCATATTTCTGCCTGGCTCCTTCTCCCAAAAAATAACCCTAGAGATGGGTTTCAGGCAGTTTAGTTCTTGTAATTAAATATACACAGTGCAGACTTATAAACTAACTCAGATAAATTATGAATTTAACTTAAGAAGAGCTAATTCTTGGTACTAGCAGAACAAAAATAACTATGGGCCCAATTCTTCCTTCAGGTAAGTTTGCAGAGCTTCTGCTTGGAAGAGGTTAAGTACTTTTTTCCAAGTATCTGAGAGCAGCATTGCCCCTATTTGTATTAAACATTTTAAATAGGTACTTATATTAAGGTGAAAAATAGGTATTTTAGAGACTTTTATTTCAAATATGAAACTGAGCTCAAAACTGATTACTTACTTAAGAGAACCAAGAATAAACGAACTTGCTGCTGCACATCTACTCCAACATGTCCCTTGTGTTTGTGCTGGTGTAATCGTGATACTTTTTTTTCCTGTGTGATGGGAAACAGTGTATTCAGTATCAGCTTTTGCTGAGAAGCCCTTTTTGGATTCTTGGAATGGGCAGATACTGCAGATTTCGTTCCGTTTTCTGCATAAGTTAAAGGGCTCCTCCTCATGCTGCATACAGCAGTTATTTGGCTAAAATATGTCCATGAGACCAACGTGGTAACAGCTCATAATGATGCAATTTCTTCTCCTTAAATTTCCTCCATTTATTGTGTTGTAGGCTTAAAGAGTCCCCTAAGCCATATGGTTAAAACAGGGAGCCATTCAAATTCATTAAAGACTTCCTTGTAAAATTCAAACTTGGGTGTGTTAAAGTTTTATTTGCTAGGGTGGCTTTTTAAAACGTAAACATAGCTATCTCTGTGGGATGTTAAGGAGGGTAAAATTTTCATTACATGATGGACTTTATCCTTTTTTTGTGGGGGGGGGGGGTGAACAATTCTATTTTAGTTAAAAGAAATAATAAAGTGTTCAGCTGCCACAGCAGATACCTGAGTTGGAGAGTAAGTACACTGCTTTCTGAAGTGTTTGAGCTGTCTTGGTCAAAGTTCAGAAAGCTGTCTCAACTACCTGAAGTTGCACATGGAGTAAATCAGACAGAAAATAGAGTTAAAACTCCCAAGCCTCCCAATGACTTAGCTTTCAGTTCTCAGTTAACTCAGTGCTGCAGTCTTACTCCTGTGGGGACGTACTGAGACTAATTCTACAAGTACATGATCACAGGAATAGTTTTACTTATTTTAGTTCGAGTCAATTGATTTAATATTTTAATCTGCAACCACTGTCTCTATGCACCTTAATAGGGCCAAGCACACTGACGCACTTCAATGATTAGAAGAAACACTCTGTCTCTGGCTTGTTTCTGAAAACTTTTTGATTTTTGTTTAAATAATAATTTTTGTTAGGTAGGGTGAATTGTTTTCTTCCTAGGAGTGAGGGAATATAGCCCTACTGTATTAAACCTAGAATGAAAGAAATTACTTAAGTATTTGGATGATACCATCTTCCTACTTAGAATTTGCAGGTGGAAAGAGGTCCCCTGAAGTTCTTCACTAGGGAAGAAGCTTTCAAATAGCAAGTAGAACTGACATTTGATACAGTTGAACAATTAAGAAAAAAATTAGGAATAAGAGAAGGGAGCATGCATCTTGCATTAATTTTTCAACAATGGAGGTTTTGAAAAACTTTTCCAAGATGATATTCACTTTAAGTGTAGAGTTTCAAAATTCCAGAACCAAATACTCACAGAATTTAAGGAGCTTCTGAACTGAAGTTCTGGCCCTTACTATTAGAATGGCTAAAATGTACACCCAATATCCAAACATTCTTAAATTTTTGAGAGTTTGGCTCCGAAATTTTTGCCTTGACCTCATTTAGCTACTTGTCAAAGCAAGGGAATATATGATTTGAGTAGACTTTACAGTGAGCTAGAGCGAAATGGTAATCATCAGTTCAGTTTTCAGTCATTCAATACATGCAGTTTCAGTTTTCTCTTGTGTAAAAAGCCGAACAAATAAAAAGAAAGCAATTAATAATCAGCAATAGAGAAGTAATTTTGTAGTTTACTTAATGATCTGTGGACAGTCACTCCAAGCTTTTGCTTTCCTCTTGGCTAACGCAAGCCAGGCTGGTTCTGTTGACACAGGGTTAGCATCAGGCGTAGAGAATCTCTTGGCCACCTCTTTTGCCAGTGGAGTTGATGGAACAGAATCTGAAATCTCCACTGTTTTTTCATGTGGGTGAGGGAGAAAACAAACGTTAGTTGACAAACAACATTAGTTGAACAGTGTACTTCGTTGCCAATTTCTAGGGAAATCTGTAATTTTCTGTGAAGCTGTTCTGACCTAACACTTCATATCTATTTCCAACCCTTTTACTTAAATCTCACTTTTGAATCTATTTTCCAAATAATCAAAGGAGGCTGAGCTGAATTTCCTTTTTCAGAGGTGAATCCATATAAAGTAACTCAAAACAATCAGGATAATGCAGCTACCTACCATGTGTAACCCCACTGGGCATTTAGGTTCTCTCTTCAGACTTAGGCTCCTTAAATAAGCACAGAGAAGAAAATGGGCCTATAGTTTTCTACCTCAGTTCACCAATCCCATGAGGCTGTTGGAAGAAGAGACGAACCAGGTCCCTCCCATACCTGTTTGTCTTAAAAATACTATTTTTAAGAAAAATCTGACAAACGGCTGTCTCAGTATAAAAATGTGTGGAATAAGAAATTGGCTTCTACCAACTTTATGAGCAGAACTGTAGAAGTACGCTGTAGAAGTCAGAGGATGGGAAGATTATTTAATTCTGAGGCAGTGGATGCCATCGAAGGCAACCTGGATAGAAACAAGTCCTACCTGAGACCTAGGGAGTTTACTCTAAAAAGCTTAGTTACAAAGTAACGTCTCATTAATCTGCCATTGTACGTTATCTTTTATGAGACAAAGAACTCGAAAGTGTTCAGATTCAGTCCAAACTATTTTTAGTTGCGTTTCATTTTCAGGTTTTGAATACCTTAAAAAGCTTTAATATTGCACGGATGGTGGAAATAATTTATTTTTCTTTTTAGTATAGCTTTCATGACTTATTTTTAGCTACAAGAAGTAAATGAACAGCAGCAGCAATTATTACTGTTGACAAACACTTTGAAAAGGCTTTACTCTTTTATCAGTGCCTGCTGTACAAGACTGAGGTGCAAGTCTGAAATACAGAAGCTTTTTCATGGGTTTCGGTTTGGGGGGTTTTATTTGTTTTGGCTTTTTTTTTTTTTTGGTTCTGCTCAGCAAACTTTCTTATGTTAATCAAGTTCTAGCCTGGATTTCTGCCTTAAATGCGGTCCTAATTGTAGGAGACTAAATCAGTGTTGCCATCCATAATAAACATATCCTTGCTTATATGATATTTGTGCAGTTGATAACGGCTACCTGATTCCAAATGTAAACAGTAATCACGTGGCGACTGAATCACTGCTTCCTTTAGGGACGATGCAATTTTATGCTTTCACTTTAGCTAATTCAAAATTAGTTATTTTCCTCCTGAAACTCTCACTTTAGGGCAAACAGGCAGACTGAGGCTCTTTTTTTCTGGCTCTTTTTTGATCTAATTTGGTATGACCGATTGTGCTGAACTTTGGGTTCTGTTCGAGTTCACAATGTGTTATAGTACTACACCGTATCATACTACTGAGTCCTTTTTGATAGGGCATCAGTAGGGCCTTATTAGGGGTTGTGACAGAAGGAGGGTAACGCGCTATAAAGCTTTTCTGCTACTGCTAAAGGCAGCTTGGACACTGGAAGCAGATTAACAGCAGAAAAGTTTTGGGCAAGGTATATAAAGTTTTGCAAATAAAACAGAAGTACTCAGGCATATCTCTACTGTAGTGCAGTTGCAATGTGGGCTTACAGCTGCTGAAGAAAATAAATATAGGCATGCATAGAGGGTCTAAGTTCAGTTTAGAACAATCAGGATCCAGTCTGTAACATGAGTAACAATGCCTCGATGTTCACTGTTAGGGATCTCTAAGATAACTGAATTACCTCATCACTTTTGCCTTTGCCACTTACATTCCATAATTCTTAGCTTGGAGTGGTATTGTACAGATTCAGCTGATGCATGTATCCACTGTCACAGAAGCCCAAATTATTTACTGTGCAAATTAAAAAAAATCTCTCTTCAGTATTTGTACTCTTCTCCAATACCTTATTCCTAGGACTAATGTTGATTAGAGAAAAAGTAGGCAAGTTGCCTCTATTTCTACAATCATCTTATTCCAGTAACATTACGTTCTTTGGGGAAGTATTTATTTTAATGTGCTTGACCTTTGAATATGTAATTGTTTCAATTTATCTAAGTGACAGGTAAAGGTTTCCTTCAGAAACAGACTCTTGGCTGGGAGAGAGAAATCTGAAATTAAAGCTGACAGGTTGCGTTCAACTTAATTGAATTAGCTTTTGCATTTTTGAATGAAACAAGAGGAGTACCCATTCCAAATTATTCTGTGGAGAGTATCTCTCCTCTGAAAACTGGGAGGCAGGAGAACACAGTTTGTCTTATTTACCACTCAGACACCTTTTGAAGATGTTTGCACATATTCCCTCCATGCTAACCCCCAACCTTAAGGCAAAACAGTACTGCAACTGCAATTTACAGTAAATGAAATTCCCCTAATGTGCATTAGTCTTGTTCCAAAAACACTTGCTGGATATGGCTTGGGGAGACAGCCTAATTTTTTAACTTAAATTGAGGCAATTCTGAGTAAGTGCACTAGTGCAACTTTAATAAGCTGGAGAACCTCGTAAAAACCTGTTAAAATTACGTACTTTTCAGCCTAATGGGCAGCACAGAAGACTGAGACAAACTGTGTTGCTCCTTGCTGAAAGCAAAGTATTTGTAATTCCAGAGGTAATATGTGAGACAAAAAATGATCCGTTCACTTTCTCTGAACCACACAACGCTACTACTAAAAGCGCATTCCTAGAGTAAATCTGAAACTCTCACTGTACCTGTCACCGAAGTTGGAAGGGTATTAGACTTCTTCAGCTGCTCCCTTCTTTCTAGTCTTGACACAGCA